GAATATCTGCCATAATGATCACAGAAAATGTGGCCTTAGAATGTCAGGTTACAATGTCCATGTCTGTGAAAGCAGCTGTTTCTTGAGCAGTCCTTCATTCTGTACTTCACCTTAAGGCTTTAGAAGCAAATTTGGTTATTTTAAAAACATAAAAGTTGTTAAGACCAACCAATGGTACTATTTTATCCTGCACTCAGAATTTTAACTTAGGAAAGTGTCTGTACCTCCACCCTACCTTTCCTCAGACCCATTCTAAGTTACTAGGAACATGGCTGCTGTGGATCACACATTCCCCCAAATTAAGTGAAACTTGACCCCCATCATAACAGTATTAAGAGGGTGGGAAATTTGATTATGGTATTTGAAAGGTGGGGTTTTTAAGATATGATTGGAAAGTTAGGACAGTGCTCTTGTGAATTAACTAATGCATTCATTGAGTAATTGGTTAATGGTTTAATGATTTATCAGAGAGTGTTTCTGATGGCTTTATAAGGAGAGCAAGTGAGCACATTAGCTCTCTTGCTCACGCCATGCTCATGTCACTATGTGACACGCTGCCTTGCCTGTAGAGACCTGTAGAGAGTTCCCAACCAAAGAAGGCCTTCACCAGATATGTCCCCTGGACCTTGGACTTCCCAGCCTCCAAAACTGTAAGAAATAAATTTTCATTCTTTATAAATTACCCAGTTTCAGGTATTTTCTTATAAGCAACAGAAAACAAACTAACACAGTAGATCACAGTAAATTTACAGGTAGAATAACACTCTCTGTGTATGAATTAGTCCATCGTACCAGAGCATTACCACCACTACATGGTACTTCTCAGAGTCCTTCTGCACATACTCAATCCTGCACACCTTTTAATTGGNCACATTAGCCCTCTTGCTCATGCCATGCTCACTATGTGACACCCTGCCTTGCCTGTAGAGATCTGAAGAGTGTTCCCTACCAAAGAAAGCCTTCACCAGATATGTCCCCTGGATCTTGGACTTCCCAGCCTCCAAAACTGTAAGAAATAAATTTTCATTCTTTATAAATTACCCAGTTTCAGGTATTTTCTTATAAGCAACAGAAAACAAACTAACACAGTAGATCACAGTAAATTTACAGGTAGAATAATACTCTCTGTGTATGAATTAGTCCATCGTACCAGAGCATTACCACCACTACATGGTACTTCTCAGAGTCCTTCTGCACATACTCAATCCTGCACACCTTTTAATTGGATTAGCACCTACCCAAGAATAAACTCACACATCAGGAATCACTTCTACCTCCCATTTCCCTTTGAGTTACTAAGTTAGCAAGACTCAC